TCCTTGTCATTCCGTCTATTCAAATCTATGGCTATTCTAACATTCTTTTACAGTCAAGGTAGACGGAGAAGGGAAATGTAAGAAAATATCCTAAGAGCTTAAGTAAGCTTGTGATTCTAACTTTAGAATGTTGACATTTTTATCCGTTCATGCTCGAGGAAGATTCTGGCTTCAAGTCTTACCGTAGGATGGAAGAACTGAACTGTTACACGAGAGTATTTCAAAGAATAAATAATCATAAGAACTTAGGTGAAAACATGAGAAAGTTGTCATGTTACAGTCACTTTTACAGTCCAGAATTTACAACAACTTCATAGCACTGAATGTATAGACATTGCGCTGGATGATTTAATTATTCTTTTTTTTTTTAAAGAGTAAGAGATGAAATTTATGTTGGATGGAATGTACTTAAATGCGCAAGGTCATATACAATTTTTTGTATTGAATATACAGTATAGGTTGTTTCACATATTTTCAGAGGAACATTACAATTCTCATATTTACGATTTTTTGATCAAACTGAAAGGCAGTAGTGAAGAAATCTCTAAGTAAAACTGTATTTTCAAAATGTGATTTTTATAAAATTTACTTTTGCAGTATTTTTTTTTAAAAAAACTGCAAAAGCATGTCAGAGCATTCCACAAGCAAAACTAAAACAGTTTAGATAAAAAACAAGCAAGCATGCGAGCACAAACAGTATCTGGGCTAAAAATTTCACTGACTTTAAAGGCTGTATTCCTATGAACATCTCAGCAAGCTCCCTGCACTCAATTCTAAGCAAACCTTCATCTTATAAGCTTATAAGAGCACTCATTACCTTATCATTTCATACTAAGCAATAAATAATATAGCCAAGAAATACATACCAAAAGTTTATGAATTAATTAACACAGGGCGAAGTACTCATATATTTTTAAAAGCAATCCAAGGACATACTGGCTTGTGACTTTTTGGTCAGAGGCTTTAGAGTACATTGAAAAATGCACTTTTCAAAGAGATTTTGTGGATGAAAACAATATATTTTCTGTGCATATTTACAATTCTACATGACTTAAAGGATCAACTCTCTAAAATTCCTCCTAATGATGTACAGCTCTGTGAACAACAAGAGAGTAGAAACTATGACAATCTGATGTCTGAGGTATTTATTTTCAGATGTTGTTACTGAGGTTGTTCAAGAGATTATCTGTTTATTTTTCTTTAAAAACTGCAAAATGCATATTCATAGTCATCAGCTGCTCTTGTTGCCAGAATCAAAGCCTTAGCAATTTATCTCTAAAATGTGAAATCCTTACTGAGTGTGAGAATAAAATGGAAGGAAAAGGTTTGTATGAAGTGAAATATTGGACAGGAGAGGGTTTTCCTAGTACTTACTCTTCTCACAATTTGGCCAGTACATTTTAAGTTCCCATTAATAATATATTAATTCCATGGATTCTCAACCTGGCATACACTGCATTTTATTTAAAGCTATCAGCTCCAGCTTTATCAAGGAGTAAAACACATCCAAGCAAGCAGACTTTGAGTCCTACATTCTCAACATTAAGGAAATGCAGCAATACATATTAATTGACCATAACCAGCATTAATATTTTCAATAGGAAAAACACCTATTTATGGTAATACAGCACAGGTTTTTAGAGTGCAATCCCAAGAGGGATCAAGAAAGAATGAGGCAGTGGATGTACCACTTCATCTCAAGCTTAAATCCCATCCACATTTTCTTTCTTTCTTTCTTTTCTTTTCTTTCTTTCTTTCTTTCTTTCTTTCTTTTTTTGAAACACATCTGAGAGGTACATACTGGACCCCTTTGGGAGAAAAGCAGCAATTATGAGCTTGCTCCAAATTATGCTATTTACTTGTGGTGGAATAAACTTTCTAGTTTGGTGGAACTCTGGTGATCTTAGCTTTTCATGTGTGGAGCTGCCCCAATGAGGCTGATAAAGCCCCCATTTAAGACTTGTTCCTCTTTGACAGTGGAGGATGCCTCTACCCCATTCTAGTATTTTCTTCAACCATATAGTGAATCTGGTGGTTAGGACTACTGAATCTCTTGGTTTGATTTTTCCCCATGTTCTGCATTGTCCAAAATATGCCTCTCTTTCATGAATTAGTGATAGCAGTACATTCTATGTAGAAACAGAGGCTTTGTATTTGTATATGAATATGAAGCCTGCTGGTACAGGTGGCTGGCTTGATGAACACTTATTCCCAGACCCTGCCGGGCCACTTGCACACGATTGGTGTCATCTGTGCCCCACTTGCAGCAGTAGCTTTGCTGCTGCAGCCCCGCCTCCCTACTCACCCATCCCCTCCAACAAAGGGGTGGGAGGATGAGCCTTCCTGCTCAGCCACCGAGTGGCTGGACGAGCAGGGAGGTGGGGCTGTGGAAGCCGAGCTACTACTGCAATTGGGGCACAGAAGATGACACTGGCCACCCATGCCACGCAGTAAGTGGTCCAGCAGTGTCTGGAGGTGGGTGTCCATCAAGCTGGCCATATGTGCCAGCAGTCTTCATATTCATATAAGAATATGAAGCCCCCATCTCTAGTTCTACATTAGCTACTGCAGGCGAAAAAATGAAGTCTTAAAAGATCTGCAAAGATACCTAACACAGCTACCTACTTCAGCTAAACTTTACGCCAAAAATGCAACCCAACACAAACCTTCTTATTGGATGGGGACAACACACTTCCTATCTGGAATATTTAACAACTCTCTCCCAAAGTAGGGAAATATCAAGATATTTAATCTACTGCATCCACCTAGCACACAAGAAACTCGAGTATCCTTGCTGGATTCTGCTCATAATGAAATAACAGTGACTTAATTCCTTTGCTCTACTACAGTTTGAGGATCATAATCTAGTGAATCCTCATTTAGTCTATCAGCCAGAATGTCACCATAAATCTGATTTACATTATTTCATGTTTATCAGTACACAATAATGCATTAGTTACTGTTTAGGAATCAAGAATATGAAATATACAGAATGAAGTTTATAGGAATCAAGTCTTTGCAAACAATACGTAATGTAACTGTCAACTGGAGTGCCATTTCAAAGTTAGAACTAAATTTTACTGCAGCAAAAAGATATCTTGATGCTACAGCTGTATTCTATAGTTAATCATGATCTCTTGTAGCTTCCACAAATATTAGGAAAATATAAACTGGTAAAATTTGATACATTAGCATTTTTTAAAAATATAAAGATCCAAATTTTCTTCACATTTTTAAAAAAATATTTTACATAAAATTTTAGTTTAATTACATTCTTTTATCAAGTTGTAATGAGAAAGAATGCACAAAAACCTGAGAATTTTAATTTTTGTATAAAATGAAAGGATATTAACTATATGATGCCAATCTGTCAATGAACAAGTCCTTAAAAACCTATTTTCAGTCTTTAGCCCAAGGGATTAATTTTTTGACTGTCAACTCAAATTCTGGAAACTAGCCAGTGAATAAAAATATAAATTTTCATATATTAGCACCCAGTATTTTTGAGTCACTTGGGATTTTTTCAACCTTGTTCTAAAAGATACAACAAAATAAACGGAAAGTTGTGTTAAGTAACTGCATAGCCTATTCATTTTAACAACAGAGCAATCCTTTACATGTATACTGAGAAATAAGTCTCACTGTAGTCAATTAAACTTATTCCCAAAGAAACATCTGCAGGATTGCAGCCAAATGGTTAGTACTTTATTACAGCCTGCAGTGTTTTCTTCTTAAAGTGGCTTGATATGTTTTGGACAGCAACTGTGGATCAGATATTCAGCGCAAGCAGTTAATCACAAAGTATTTTAATGCTACGACTTTCTATCCAGAACACCAGAAGTATTACAAAAAGGATAATTTCAAACATTAGCTTCAATTTTGCCTTCATACATATCCACACTTAAACAACAACCCTAAAACCTTATCATATACCCTTTTTAAATCATATCAGACTCCACCTTCTAAAGTAATAAGAAATCAGAAGAGCAAACAGTAATTTGATTTAACCAACCATATCAGCCAATATAATTTTCTTGCTACCTAAAGAAGGTGAAAGACAAAATTTCATTTTATAACCTAATTCCATTTCAGTTTTATTTAACTGTCTACAGATTCTGTGAGTGTGTGCACATACACTGTCACACACAGAAACAGTGGTATCTACATACAGTTGTACACAAATATTTACATACATATGTTATACACAAACTAATGTGATTCCATGATTTTTTTTACTAGAAAGGCATATGCTTTGGTAGCATATTCAATTGTTGCACTGGTCTTACAAGAGCACTAGGAACCTTTTGCAACAATCAGCTAAAGCACAGTTCATCCAGGTTTTAGACTGTATATAAAAAATACAATACCTAGAATGCTTATCAAACAAATAATGCTTTATTGGCATCTAAAAAAAACATTAAAACGTATTTTAATTTTTAACCCACTGCAGTATGAGGAACGAATCACTGACACTGACACTGTTGAGAAACAGAGACTACAATCCAAAAATTCAAGAATGCACCATCTCTGTGTCATTTATGCTCCTTCTTTGTCGTTGTTGGCCATACTGAAGGAACATGCAGTAGCACTGCTCTGCCTATGCTTTAAAATTCTGTAGCAGCCTAAAAACCTGGAAAAAAGACACCAGCACCTCTTTCAAGTATAACACTTTCTATGGCCAACCTCAGAGCAATATCTAAAAATCTCCATTTCTTCCATAGGAAGTCTTTCTTTGACAAGCTGTTATCCTTGTGAAGTAAAAGCAACTAGGGCGAGTTTGCTTTTGTCAGAAAAAAATAAAAAGAAAAGAAAGTTTACCTCCCATTTTCAAATTAAGAACAGTATTCTATACAGGTCAGTCATACAGCTATTTAAGTGAAAGACAAACATGAACATTAGATTAACTTAATTCTGGCAGATAAAAGTGAACTACTAAGGTCCAGTCAGCCATTCATCTATTACAGAGAGAGATGACAACTTTACAAAAGGTATCTTTTTACCTACTGAGTGATGATTATGTCCCCTCAGTTTCTGTGCTTTCTACCACTGGTTCACTTTCTAATTCAGCTTCTGTGTCACTCTTCTCTTTTTTTGTGTCACTTGGAGTTGCCAGCTTTTCATACAGTTCTGATTCATCCTGTACTTGAACAGTAGATGGCTGACTCTCTGTCTCTGCATTTTCACCATTAATCTGGGGCACACCGCCAGGTTTTTGTTGAGTTGTGCCACCTTCAAAATATTCGAATGCTCTTGGATGGGAAGGGGGTATCCAGTTGTTCTGTATTCTTTCTCTCCCAAACCTGTTTCCATTAATTTCTCTGCCAAAATTAAAATCTCTGTCATCCCTGTCCCTCTGTCTTTCCCAGGGCCTACGGCGGTCATCAAAGTCTCTGTGAGTATCTTGTTCAAGCCCCCTGTTCCAGCTGGGACCACCACGAGCTTCAAATCTGTAGTTCGTTTGTCGATACCTCTCTCGGTCATCTGGGAAGCCTTTACGACCACCATATACAGAAAAAATATGATGCTCTCTTTCATCATAATCTCCTCTTTGACCCCAATGCTTATCTGAATTGAAAGGAAAATGGTCTCTTCTACCAAGGTTATCCATACCTGGTCTTCCAAAGTTCTCTCTTAAATCTATGTGTGGCCTGGCAAGATGTTCTCTTCCATCTACTGGAGGTCTTCCTAGACCCTCTCTTGGATCTAGTGGTGGCCTTCCACCTGAATCTCTAATATCTGCTGATGACTGACGATTAAGGCTTTCTCTATTTTCCACTGGAGGAAAGCGGTAGTCTCTATCTCCTTCTTGCTGAATGTTGTCATCTCCAAGTGGCAATCTTTTATCTGGATTAGAAATGTTATCAACATTTTGCCTACAAGAAGTTCCAAATGGCCTCTCTGTTTGTGTAAAAAGATCTCCTGAAAGGAAAGGAGCCCTGGGTGGAGGAAGAGATGGATCAAGGATAGCTGGAGGGGGAATACTACGCTGTGGTGGGATTCCAGGCTGTAAGAGTGGAAATCTTGGCCCAGGTGGTTGTGGCATTAGTCCTGCACGGATATCTACTAGAGGCATTCCAGGCAACCTTTGACTAGCAAGGGTTAAATGGGGCACATTTTGAATCCCAGTGGGTGGTTGCAGCCCTAGAAGTCCAGAACCACTTGAAATATTTGGTGGTGGTAATCCCAACAGTCCAGAACTATTTGAAACAATTGGTGGTGGCAATCCCAAAAGGCCACGGTTGCTCGATACAGATGGTGGCTGGAGTGCTGTCAACAGCCCAGAACTACTTGACACTATGGGTGGCTGGACTCCTGACAAAAGCCCAGAATTACTTGACACTATTGGTGGTTGAAGTCCCATTAGAAGGCTGGAGCTGCTTGAAACGCTCATGGGCTGGAGTCCTGCCAGAAGCCCAGAGCTACTTGAGACACTTGGAGGCTGAACACCAGTCAGAAGTCCAGAGCTGTTTGAAGCAGTAGGTGGTTTAACTCGTGTTAAAAGTCCAGAGCTGCTTGAGACACTTGATGGCTGCACAAGTCCAGAGTTGCTTGAGACACTAGGGGTCTGCATTCCTCCTATAAGCCCAGAACTGGTTGGGACACTGGATACTCCAGAACTGCTTGAAACATCATCTTGAACTGAAATGTAAGTACAGAAATGTAACATTAGCAGGAAAAATATGCACGAATGAACAAGCAGTTTCTTATCGCTAGGTAGTTGAAAATTTTGTCAAAACTAAACTTATAGGTTGACCTCAAAAGTTATATTAAGCTGAGGTCAACCTATACAGTTTGGTTTTAAATCACAAACTGTAGATAATGTCTATTTACAATTGCAAATAAAGCATCTCAAACTGAGGAACAGGCTTTTTGTGTGCTTTAGAATCTAAAGTTTAGATTCTGTTTTTATACTACAGTTTGTTTAGCTGTTTTTCAACTAAATGCTTTATTGTGTTTTACTTGCATTTTAATTATTGTGCATTGCCATGAGCCCCTTTATGGAAGAAACTATATAAATTAATGAATTTATTGAGATGAATGAGGGTTTCTCTCAATTTGCAGAGCTCAACAACACTACAGCCATTTACACATGGCTGCAACAATTCCTCTTTCAGCATATAAATATAAGGCTGGCATACTGTCACTATGCTCTGTATTATTTTCAGGAATTAGGTTTTACAGTGCAATCTCAATGTTTACTAAGAAGCAAGCACCACAGGAACTCACTCCCAAGTAAATGTGTACAGAATTTCTATCTGGTCATATAACTTACCAGCTCTGCTTTCACTTGATGAGATTTGAACCTCGGAAAGATGAGATCCCTTCTCATCCATTTCTGAGTTGTTACTTGAAAGAGAAGTAAAAACACTTCCAGTAGACAAGGTTGGGGTGGTAAGACTACTGGAAACAGTTCCTACTGGTAGAACAAGATTGGTAAAATCTTTCATTGACTCTTGAGCAATCGGTAGTGAAGGTTGTACAAGAGCTGTAAAAACAAAAAGAATACACGGGTAATTGACAATTGATGAGAAATTCTTACAACACAAACCTATGCATGTATTTTCAGATGTTAAGTCTCACTGCATTCAATGGGGAATACCATGATCTCTACTCATACAATGTACATCTACTTAGTTATCAGTCATAACATGTATGAATCACTTTTGCACCTAAAAGAGCCTTCAAGGTAATAAACAGCTATAAAAGCAACCTCATATCAAAACATATTCAAAATGAGCTACCATCTTTCAACATTCAGAGCAGATGATTTCAAAGCCAACAAAATTATGCAAAGGAGAAATATGCAATCATAAACCAGAGACAGTAATTGTTAGATCTATTATTTACAACAGGTGTGGCAATATGCACCTTGCTAACTATGCAGTTGAGTAGCTCGAAGCCCACAAACCACAGAAGAGAATTATTGTTTTGGAGGTTTTTTGTCATGAGGTATGAAATTCAGCAGCACATTAGGAAAATCTCCTTAAAACAATTTTTTTTTCTCCTTCTGGGTTCCCTACAAAATCTGGCACGAAAAGGCACCAAAAAGGACATAGCTTTGCCTTTTGTAAGCACTTGCATGCTATAATTTCTTTGAAATGCATATATAGCTGTGAATGAAAATAAGTGAACCTATTCTGAAGCACATAAATTAGCCATGGCTTCACACCATTTGTGTCCAATGTACCAAAAAGGAACACAGAAACATGGTCTTCACAATCAGCAATTCACAACAATTTGCATCAAATTTATTACACACGGAAGTGCTATCTACACAGAAAATTCGTAATATCTAAATTCATAATTCCCAAGAAGCCTACTTATGCTAAACATAACAGAAATGGCTGTGTGCTCCTTGATTATACTTGCACAATGCAATCCTGCCATTATTTCATATGAATGAGCTTCAGCAACTTGAAATGAGTAATGAAATACACAAAACTGCTACGTTAGGAATTATAAGGTGTTTATTTAAAATATATCCAGCGTTGGCAAGTTCAGTATAAAAGAAAAAAAAATACAGTATAAAACCAGTTCATTAAGCTGACTTCCCCATACTCTGTTTTATGTAACAGCCATTTTCTAACACAGACATAACATGACATTGATGGCCTGGGCACACAAAGAAAACAATCAAGCTTACGTGTTGGGACTACTGGTGGAGGAACAGGAGGTGGAACAGGAGGCGGCATATAACCTAGAAGAAACAAATATGAATAGAAAACTCTAGTTAAACTGCTCTGAAAACTATCTCTGTACCAAGACAGGTTTCATTATATATTTGTATAGCACTTGCATCCACCATTCAAGTTTTTTCGGTGGGAAAACTGGCAAGTAATGAAATGTTAATAGCACAATTTAAGAAGATAAGTTATAATGCAACTAAACATTGCACAAACACGCTGATAGCAATATTCTGTTTTCCTTCAGCCCACCCCATCATTATATGGTGCCAACAACCTTATCTAAAAGGTTTTCCAGTCCTCCAGAACAGGCTTTCAGGAAATGGGCAGGAGAGCAGGAAACACAATTAGCAGAAGCACACTATTGTTTACCGCCAATGGACATATTCCCAAGTCAGTATGCATAGGACTGTGGCCTAAATTAGTTTTATCAATATTTAACTGCAAAACTTGTAACACATTAAACATAATAATTAACAAATCATTAGTATTACGTTCTGCATATTTTAAATTAGAAAGATGACTTACCAGGAGGTGGTTGTGCAGGATTATAGCTTGCTCTCAAGAAGGGAGGTGGAGGAACTGCACCATACCCTGGAGGAGGAACAGACATTGCAACAGGAAATGCTGGTGGAACTAAACTAACAGCTGGTACAGCTGGGGCTACAGGAATCTGTTTGCAAGAAAGAAAAAGGAAAAAATGTCCAGTGATCTTTAATATAATCTCATTATTTTCAGAAAGGAATTAACAGTAGATTTCATAACTACGTTAACGATTTTATATAGAGTTCTTCAGAAATACTTCAAACAGATTTTCTTAAAAATATTACAATCTTCAAAACCAGCAAGAAAACATTAAAGAAATAAAAATCTGCTAAATATAGTGCTCCTTCTGAGAGAACATGCTTAGCATTTATCTGTAAAACCAATCAGTATCAAAATGTATACAATAATTACATACTTCAAATAATAATTAAGTACTTCAAAAGTTTTTTTCTCATCCATCCCCAGCTATCCAGAAACCCAATCTAACCTCCCTGGACTTGGAAAAGGCCACCAAGATGGCCTCTTCACACTATAGGATCTTGGTACTTGTCAGCGTTTCTTCTCCTAAGAACATCTACCAACACCACCTCTCAGGCTATGTTCCTTCAGGCTGCCACACCGAGAGAGGCCAGAAAGTCATCAACTTGAAGCAGGGTCTTCTCGGTCGCAGCTCCATCCCTTTGGAATGGGTTCCTAGTGGAGCTGCGCCTGGCCTCCTCCCTCAGTTTTTAAAAGGATGTTCAAAACAAGGTTGGTTACTAAAGACTTTTGAGAGCATCCTCTCTTCATGTTACACTGACTAACCCTCATGTTGCCCACTTGGTATCAACTGTTTTCCCCTACCATGTGTAATGCCCTTCCACACTGTTCTAGACAGCCTGCCAACTCTCCAGGTCAAATTTAAAGAGAGCTCAGAGAGCTGTAAGATAGTGAATCACTCCTTCTTGCAGTAGAAATATCCCATGCATAATCTAAGCCAAAGGTTTTATAATAAACTGCAAAATGTTTTTAAAATCTGCTTTAATGGAACATTGGGTAACAGAGCTTTTGCCATTCAACACATTTGATGTGCTTATATTCTTCCTAGAACATGATGAACAACTGGAATGCAAACAGTAAAATTGAGCAACACACATTTGTAATTTGGTCTCTTTCATGGGATCTCCTTTTCTTTAGCTCAATTTATAGTACACTTAACTGAATTTAGATATTACGAATTTTCTCTCTCACCTCCCCCCCATCAATCCAAGGTATAAATAAATGACAGAATGCTGATAGTCCTTCTCGGGGGGCTTACTCTGCTTCTTAGGTGAGGGAGGATTCACGTTCTCCTTCTCTGCCACCTGGACATCCTTTCCAGAAGCAGTCCTGTCAATCTTCCTATTTTAGGTGACTTTAATATCTGCAAGCCTTCCTGAGCTGTGCACTTTTCAGCCTAGCTAATTTAGTAAACAAAAGCAGTCATGCTATAGTTGCCCGCTTGGAATAACATGCTGTATGGTCCCTACTACAAACCTGAAATGAAAATTCTTGTCTTTTTAACCTGTATGGTGTTTTACATGAGAAAATTTTTCACACAAATTACAGAGGTCAGAAAACATCACAATGTCTTCAACTAAAATAAGAAAAAAAACAGGAGTGTGGAACAGTTGTCTTTGTGTTGGAATCGAGGAATTATCTGGGAAGCGGGAAGCTCCTCAGCTTCTGATACCAGATGATTTGAAGCCCAAACAAAGTAATAATCCATTCTATACCCAACTATCTTCATAGGAGACTGAAAAGCAGGGATATGCTACAATACAACAGGAGCCTTGTGACGCAGTGGTTAAACTGCTGTACTGCAGCCAAAACTGTGCTCACAACCTGGGGTTCAATCCCAGGTAGCCGGCTCAAGGATAACTCAGCCTTCTATCCTTCTGAGGTTGGTAAAAATGAGTATCCAGCTTGTTGGGGGGCAATGTGTAGCCTAACTTGTAAAGCACCCACTTTGCTTTACAACACTAACCTGTAGCATAGTGACAGACTGTGTGTAAGTTTCTGTTTGTGTTGTAACAGCTGTGGTCTTGTCAACTGTTGTACTCTGGGTTGTCTGCACAGGCTCTTTTACAGGCTCTGAGTTTCTTGCAGTTTCCCACTCTGAAGAAACAGGACGAAAATATGTCATTAGCATGTTAAAAAAAGTTAAGAGTGCTTAAATTCTATTGTTTAGTGGAGTAAGTCACAACTAGAGCAGGCCAATTGAATCACTGGGACTTATAGAGGAGGTGACTCACCAAGACCATATGGTTTCAATAGAACTACTCTAGTTGCAGTGGCGGAGGCAGCGGGGATGGGAGGCAGAGGGCAGCAGGGACGGCTTTGAATTTCCCACCCTTTCCCCCTGCCTTTCATAGGTTGAAGCTCCGGCTGCAAGTCGAACCAAAATTTTGTTGCCGGAGTTTTTCGTACCTCAAAATTTTCATAAGTAGGGACTTTCGTAAGCCGAAGCCCCACTGTAACACCATCAAAGCTACAAACAACAACAATATTACGAACAGCAAATATAGTGCATGGATATTTAACAGATACTTAAAGACAGGAATTTACGGGGTTCTCAGGAACTGGGAACTCCACTATTTAACCTTACTGCCAAAAGCCAGGCTGTATCTTTATTAGTTTGAAAAAAGAAAACCTCCCATTAGTGTTCTGCTGAACAAATTTAGTTTCTTAAAATACATAACAAAAGAGATAAAAAAATTTAAAAAGTCAACATCTAATTATAAGGCACTATAAACAACCTTACCGCTATTCACTGTTTCTTGGTCAATCATGCCACCTTCCGCGAAGCCATCTAAATCATCCAATTTAACTTTTTCCCAAGGTATATATGAAACTCCAAGATCCACATCCCAAAACTGTTTATATTCAGTTTTTACCCCTTTATTTAAAGCCCATGCAATCTGAAACATGAAATGCAATTCAGTTAAATCATAAAACATTATCAGCCCCCAAAACTTTTGGTCATTTTCAAACATGTTAATCTGTTTGCAAAACAGCATTATTTGAAAGGCAGGTCTTATTATCCAAAAGGGTAGCTAAACATACAAAGTAAAACTGGTCTTATTTTCCTTGCAACAGTTCTTTCACTGTCTTGCAATTCTTTCATTTTCTTTTCTTTATCAATTTTTTGAAGGTTATACTTTCTGCAACTTTTCTGAAAAACCAAGTTGTGTGGACCAAACTCTTTTGATGTTTTCCTAGCTCTTTGAAACATACTACAGATCTGAAATTCTGTCAAAACATCAGTATTTTTCCCTTCTAGCTAATACAGAAAGCAATGCCACCATCAATACAGTGGTGCCTCGCTTAACGAGCGCACCGTACAACGACGAAATCGCATAGCGATCCCTTTTTTGGGATTGCTAATGCGATCGCTCAACGAGCTTTAGATAGGGTGAAATTCGCTTTGCGAAGATCAGTAAGCGTTTCGCTTACCGATCTTCGCAAAACGAAGCTCCGACGATCAGCTGTTCGGCGGACAAAATGGCCACCGGAAGCCCCAAAATGGCCGAGCGCAGCGTTTTCGCACCCTGCCCTTTCTTAACGAGGGAGCGAAAATGGCAGCCAGCCATAGGAAACTTCGCTGAACGGTGAGTAAAGGAGCCTTTTGGCTTTCCCTGTCCCGTTCAGCGATGTTTCGCTATAGCGAAGGTTAATCCGGAACGGATTAACCTCGCTATGCGAGGCACCACTGTATTGGCAAATTTATATTTATATTTTACTTGTATTTGCGCTTTCCCCCTGATTTTATCACTGTTAATTGCTTTGGCAGAAAATGCAGCTATAAATTTGACAGAATTGAGTTATTGTGCTATGTATGTCTGGCAAGAAGACACATTAGTTTATTTATTTCTCAATTTATATCCTGCTCTTATTCGTGCCAAAGCACTATTCTGGGCGATTATAACAAATATAATACAATACATTGCAAATAACCCTTAAAACAGATGGCAAAGACTAGTCATATAAAAACTAGAGTGGACGAAGGAAAGCAGGGGGGGGAAAAGGTGATCAACTAGAGTCAGTGTAGAAAGCCTCCCTGAAAAGCCAAGTCTTTAGTTGCTTGCTAAATATCAACAGAGAGGGAGATAGGTGGAGCTCCTCCAGAAGTTGGTTCCATAAGGTTGGAGCTACCATGAAGAATACCCTACCTCTTGTAGAGAACTTATGGCCCTCCCCTCAAGGTGGCCACACAGAGGAGCCTCAACTGAGATGATCTTGTGGCTCAGGCAGCTGACATTAAGGAAAGATGCTCACAGTTAAGAATTGCCATCTGATCCTGTTGACTTTCTTAGGTCCTTATTCCTACTCTTGTCATATAGTATACACTGTTGCCTACATGTAGTTGTCCCCCAAACCATTGCTAAAGTGGCATTTAGGGTCAAAACTGGTCCATCACTCCAATCAAAACCCTCTTTCATATACTGGGAAAATTCATATATACAAGATATAAAGATGAATTTCCAAAAAACAAACAAACAAAACCAACAACTCCAAATTGTGAAGATCCCATTATTTTCACTGGATGTGTGATTAATAGTTGTAATTAATAACTGTATTCATTTATGAAACTAGAGTACAGAATCAATTTTTTGGTTGTTCTTCCTAACGTTTCGCCAGTCTCTGTGACCGGCATCTTCAGAGGACAGCAACCTGTGCTCTCTTGAGAGCACAGGTTGCTGTCCTCTGAAGATGACGGCCACAGAGACTGGCGAAACGTTAGGAAGAACAACCTTCAGAACACAGCCAAAGAGCCCGAAAAACCCACAACAACCATTAGATCCCGGCCGTGAAAGCCTTTACAAATAAATCAATTTTTTATTTGTTACCTTCATATTGTACATTCTCTCTGACATGGATGCCCAAACTCTGCCTTATAAACATTTCAGTGATATTCTTTCCATATATACGCTAGCAAATTAAGCTTTGGAGTTTTGACTACTCATGTAAGGTACATGACATATGATTTAGAGACTATTTTTAGAGGATAATTACCAATTTTGCTTTTTGTCTCATAATCAACTATTATCATTACTTGCTTCCTTATAAAATATTTTATTTCTTCCTTATTTAGTTGCACATTCATTTCCCTAAGTGTATGTATGTTCGTTCATATGTATGTATCTGTTTGACTTCAGCAACTGTCTTATTCCATTTCCCCCCTCAATATTGCAGACATCAATATTATTATTTATCAATCATACAGTACCATAAAATGTAACTTATACTGAAGATGGGTAATGCTATTGAATATATACCTTAATAATTTTAGAACCAATCTTATAGGATCCAGAGCTAAGTTTCTGAAGAGCACGATATGCATCCTGTCTATGAACCATACAGACATATGCACAACCTCTGGGAGGAATCATCTACAAAGGAAAGAATTCAATAATGTTAAAAGGCAAACAGGACTTACTCTTTGACTGAACGGGAAGTTAACACACCACACCTCTATGTAAACTCCTTCCCCCATTCCCTCCAAACCATATCCTATGCCACTGTGGAATCTGACTTTCAGGACTGACATAAATGGAGAGGCAAGAAAGCCTTCTTCTGCAGAAAATTGTTCCTATGTTCAAAACATTATTTAAAAGTAATTACCTTGAACAAAGTTTTATCATTTTAAAGGTGTAGGATAAGTATTGCACTTACATTTATAGATTCTATTTGTCCAAATTCTTCAAATAAATTGGTTAAGTCTTGCTGTGTGGCCTTCTTGTCCACTTGACCAACCCAAAGTGTGGTACTGCAGACTATCGAGACAAATTGCACAATTTAAATATGAGTTGGTTAATGGCAAGATATATGAATTGGTTAATGTTTAACTTGGGACTATTTACCCTGATTCTATTCAAAAGCAGGTTGATCCCTTCCATGAAACATATAATCCAACAAACCAATCAATAATATTGTTTGATTAATTTTAACTTGAAAGCCCGTATTTCCCTTTATGAACCTGCCCAGGTTTTAAAAACATCAAGGTCTTTCTCTCCATCCTGCCACCCTCATAGGTGTCTTTTTGTGAGAAAATGGGGGGGAACAAACCCCCCATCAAAAAAACCCCACCTTCTCTGTCGCTGTTCCCAAGCTACAGAACTCCTTCCCATGAAAGACCAGGCTGGCTCCCTCTTTGCTGTCTCTCTGCAGGCAGCCAAAGGCTTTTCCTCAGTGACTGGCTACCTAAGAGTTGGGCTGCTTTTTTCGGTTTAGTTTATTTTTGTTTTGTTGCTCGTTTGCTTTTTCCCCTCCACATCCTGGTTTTAGATAGTTTGTTTTTGATACTATAAGCCACCTTGGGTCCTCTTGACAAGAAAGGCTGGGTATAAATATTTTAGATAAATAATAAAAAATAATTACAAACACAGAATTCTGTGAGTCTTGTAAATGTCATGTCTCCAATAAAGGAGCAAGAAGACATAACCATGAGAAAGGACCTGCTGTGTTATATACAACTAGAAAAGTATAATCAAAGTAAGCAAAAGGTGATATTTGGATGAAAACCTAAGTGTCTACTTTATTTTAGATTAGCATGGTTACTTCAGATTACTAGGTACACCATGATCAAGCTATGGGAAGTATCTTTGGCTGGAAAACAAGGCATGAAGGTAGATACGGGACAAGATACTCTTGTAAGTATATAAGACACAGGTCAAAAGAACTTTAGAGCCAAGCAACAGTGTCTGGAGTTTATGGAAGCTATTCTCTAACAATTCTCTAACAAGGATAGTTCTCAGGGCCCAAAATTCAATGGAAGAAAAAAAAATCATAGGACAGAACAGAAACCACACCAAAAACTGGTAAAGCAAAATGCTACAGAACAACAACAACAACAACAACAACCCTGCTTGCTGGTGATCAACTCAGTTGTTTCTTGATTACTGAACAAATGACAACTAATCACTGAAACAGTATTCTGCTGAACTGCAAGCAGACGATACCTACCACTTAGTGTTTTGGATCGTATGGGAGGTAAGCCCTTTTTCTGCCTTTCTTTCTCTCTTTCTCTAGCTCTTCTTTCACTCGAATATGACCGTGATGACTTTCTTTTTCGTTCTCTTGATCTAGAGCGTGAGCGTTTCCTATGCTTACGTTTTCGAGAACCAGATCGTGATCTGGACCTTCGTTTTCTTGGAGACCTGTAAAATAATCAGCTCAATACTTCTACCAGGAGAAAGGCGACACTCCATCAGAAAACTCAAGTTTTTAAAACATGAAGACAAACATTTCCATGGATTAAAAATATTACAGAACCTTGAACGAGATCTTGAACGTGTTCTTGATCTTGAAATAACTGTTGCTTTCTTTTCTTCTTGCTCAAAAACCTCTTGTTCTACAACCTCTTGGATTTCATCTATATCCATATCCTGAATATGGAGGAAATTAAAAATAAAAGTACATGAAAAATGATTTGCTCCAGTCAAGCAAAAGCAGCTCATGTGTACAAAATGGCCAATGATAACCCTACACACTCAGAATCTAACATATCCACATTGTATTCTAGCACCTTGTGTTACTATACACTCAAAGTAACTGGGAATGTCAAAACTGGCATGGCCATCTACTCAGTAACTGGGAGAGATTTATTAGGCTCAGCAACATGCTCATAGCACACCACTATTCATGAGGAATACTGATGTCTGATCAGTTGTAAGTTATCACTGTTCATGACAGGATAGTTTGGAGATCACTAATTCATAGAGTTCCACAAGCTGACTTGAGAAATGTGCAACAAATAATAGGGGTTACTTATAGCCTGTCTTATATTATAGAACAGTAATTGTTCAGTACATTATTGATCCATTTCAACAGAAATTGTGAATCTCACCTGTTGTTGAACATCCATTGAATTGTCAATATTTGGTTCCACTTCTAAGAACTGCTGGTGGCCACTGTCTTGTGAAGGAGATGCTGAATGTTCAGAACCAAAATGTTCTTCTTGCGTTTCTTTAGGGCTTGCCTGTAAAGCAAGAAAATGTATTTGTTTTAACCTTAAATACAAATAGGCATGGTAGCACAATTTTCCATAAAACTGTTTCAAATGGAACAGCTTATTGACAATCTTACTTTTACACAGCTGTGATTTAAACCACCCTATAATGAAATCTGTTCAGAAAAATGTGTTTATGAAATATCCTTTTCGTAAAACTTTTCAGCATTGCCATTAAATAAATACAATTGTAAAATCTGAATGAACCATCAACTGTCAAGTATAACAAACTGCAAATATCAGAATCTAATCAACAATATTCTTTCTATCCAATGAGAGCTACTTTCTCTACATATAAAATAAAATACAAAGTTTGAGAATACAGTAAACTTACTACTGCTTATCTTCTGCTGTGACCATATTATCAACTTAACATTAGAATATTTATTTATTTGTTTGTTTGTTTGTTTGTTTGTTCGTTCATTCATTCATTCATTCATTCATTCATTCATTCATTCATTCATTCAATTTATATGCCGCCCACACTACCCAGAGGTCTCTGGGTGGCTTACAATAATTAAAATTCAATACAGTAAAAGATAAAATAATTAAAATACAATTAAAATACAATTAAAATTGACATCAGACCCACAGCTAATATTATTTCAATTAAAAGCCTTCTGGAACAGGAAGGTTTTGACCTGGCGCCGAAATGTCATCAGCGTCGGTGCCAGACGAATCTCAGTCGGGAGGGCATTCCATAGTCTGGGGGCAGCTGCCGAAAAGGCCCTTTGTCTACAAACCGTCCCTCTTACCTCCTTAAGGGACGGCTCTTTCAAAAGGGCCCCCTGGCTAGATCTTAACTGCCGGGTAGGTTCATATGGAAGGAGGCGGTCCTTCAGGTATCCAGGGCCCAAGC